GCCCAATAGGCATGCCGTAAATCCCCGTACACCAGAAAACCCGAGTACAGAGGCTTCATCTTCTTTCCCCTTATTTATTCACCCTTTCAAGGGCGGATCCAGTACACAATTTTTTTTTAATTTGTTTTTTTTTTTGGAGGGGGGGGGGGGGGGGGATTTAGGCCCCCAAAAAGTGGGCCCAAAAATTACGCCGTGGGGTTTGGGGCCCGATTAAGGGCCCCGAATCATTTGGGGGGGGGGGGGAGGGGGGGGTCTATATGCTCTGTGGTGCGATTTCCGGCAATTTATGTTCACTTTAACTAATTTGTTTGTAGGAAAAGTTGGTGACGTATACCTGCCTTATTGCAACGTCATTGGGTTTGTTTTTTTGGAAGCCATGGCCCCCGCTGCCTCCCCCCCCCCTGGATCCGCCCTTGTTCACTTTAAGAACTGAACAGTTGTTCCGTGTTATTCCCAAATGTCAACAAAACAAGTTTGATAATAGAAAGAAAATATATTTGTTTATTCCACGTACTCTTAATTATGCACTGTTCCATGTTTTGTACACAACCTTTAATGCATGGCTCAACCCCAATCGGTCAATTTCTGGCTGTTCAGTAAAAAGAAAAACACCCATTAAAAACTTCATAGTCTAACTTAGCCCTAATCGCTTTAACAGCAATTTGATTTTACTGACAGCGTTCTTGGTTGAGTACACGGCACGTGTCTTGGTCTCGGTCAGGTGGACTCGACTACGTATCAAAAAGCTGACTGTTTGACTGTGTGACAAAAAAATTATCATGGCGAAAAAGTTTCTTTTCTTCATATAACTTCAGTTATACAGTTTGAAAGGTCAAAATCTATTATTTTATTATATCAATGTGGAAACTCGAAACTCGAGACTCGAAACTCGAAAAAAGTAACTCTCGATTTCAAAATGGGTAGGCAAGACGATAATGAGAAAAGGTATTTAGTAACGCTGCTTCAAGAGAACATAAAATTTCTGAAGAGCTATACACTTTAATAGGCCATTCTCTTCCGGCACTCACTGACATTCAATCAGTCAGTCAGTCAGTCTGTCAGTCCACTCAGTCTGTCGGTCAGTCGGTCTTTATCATTTTGTAAAAGGCTTCTAATGAGAAGCCATAATAAAGACCCATGCAATGGGCCTACGCGTAATATTCGGAAACACGTCTTCAGAGTTAAAAGCTCTTGATACTCCAATCATTGATGTACACTTCCAATTTTAAAATTCGTAATATACATGTATATTATAAAAATTATCCAATTATAATGACAGAAAAGGATTGTATACCTCAGCAGGTCCCACGTCACTAAATGATATTTTTTTCAGCACGATGCAATCTTCTGTTATCCACTCCAGACAAAATCAGCCATGAAGACTTTGTTTCTTTACCATTACGGAAGAAAATCCTGTATGGCGCTAGCAATATGATGCGTCAACAGATTTTTGCACGTAGGCATAAACATGTCTATCAAACATTTACAGAGGGTCAAAGGCACAATATCATGTGACATCCATTAGTTTCGATTCAAGTCAGTTATAGGTGATTCATTTTAATACGTCACATATTCTTTCCAATTTTGCCCTTAAAAAACTGCATTTTAAATTAACAACATTTGGTATCAATATAGGGCCACCGGTGTTAAAGATTTACACCGCTGGTTCGAAATAGATACACAATTTGTATTAACTTTTTTTGTTAATATTAAAGGGCCGTGCAATGGATTTGTTTTAAATCAAATGCAATCGTTCAAAGTTGAAAAGTGCACCTTTGTGTCCCATTTTAAATTATTTTCAATTCTTTTTGCCATTTTCAAGGAATGTGTGGTTCATCTTTGGTTTTTACGTTTATGCAAATTACCACAATGAGCAAAAGTCACTGGTGTCAATTCAGGCAAAAACATCCATGTTACAGCTATGTCAGCACCAAATATTGCCAAAAGTTTGGAAAATGTGCTACCAAACGATTTTTATTTTGAACTAATTTGTTTTCTTTGGTTATTTCTTGTTGTGTCGGTTCACCTGCCAATGAGCAAACATTTTTCCGAAATGTTTTCAATCTGCACATTTTTGGGTTCACAATTCGAACAGGAAACTCCTAAACTGTCTTCCTGAAATGACATCACAGCAACAGCGCCTTCAGCTTAACACAATCGTTTTTTGTTGGCCAGGCAATTATCCACACAGAGGCAATTAGGCTACCTTTGTCCCAATGCCTAAAATTGAAAACTTGGTCCCATGGTCAATTTGACCTCTCTTGGAAAATTACTCATAACTCTGTCAAAAATTGGCAGATTTGGACGTTTGATGTCTCATTTTAAAGTGGAAAGGCTTACATTTTAACAAATATTATCTATGTTGGTTACACATTCTATGTCTGACATTCCGTTATATTTTGTTTGCAATTTTTTTGCTACACACTGTATAACGAATTTTGACATGTTACAGTTATACTTTAACAGTCATTATTTGGTGTTTGCAACCCTCTTAAAAAGGTTTTATTTGGGGTTACTGTTGTCAATCTGCCCTCCAGTAGATTGCTCCCTGTTCCCAACACATTTTGGAAAAGGGGCGGGAACCAGGATACCCTACAAGAAATATCAACTCTACAAGAACTATCCTTATTACTAATTGTATACACATAATCTAAAAGTAATTTGTTTGTTAATAAATTCACCATCTGAAAGTATGGAAACAAATATCCATTTGAATTGAATTGGATTTTTTTTATGCCGCATCCCGGAGTAATTATTGCATATAACTACACGTATGCCGATCTTCGGTCCATGTCTCATTTACAAGTAAATAACCCTTACTTAGTACGGACGTTACATCGTTATCCAATCTTTCTTGGGATTTCTTTGAAAAGAAAATGTAAAATTCCTTTTTGAGAAATATCCTTCGCGGACTTTGTTAAAGACCCAATAGACATATACGTGGCTAGACATATGACAAAGTTTAGTAAAATTTCCATTCAAAAGAATGTTTTCCGGGATGGGGGAGGGGGTAAAGCACCCAATGGCAATGACAAAAAAAATAGCAAAAACTGGAAGGGGAACTTGATTTTACTTGAATCAATCGGAATAGAATTTTGCGAACTTTGTCATATTGGTCTAGAACCAACTTGACTAGACTTGCCTTGTCTTAACACGCAATGAATGATATACAAAGGAAGCATTAAGTTTGACATAACAGAAACGATTACAAACGAGAGAAAAAGACACAAATCATGCTAATCATGAGACAAATGAAGGTTAACTCCTACCAAAAAAATACCAAATTGGGGAAGATTAATTGACCTACCTGTGCACAGGATCACTGTTTGAAAACAAAGCCTCACGTCACCACTGTTTTTCTCAACACGATCCAGTTTCCGAACAGTTATCCACTTGAGCAAAATATTGAGCAAGGAAGTTTTTGTCCAATGATAAATCCAATGAATCCAATATGGCGGCCGCTTTTGAGGAGGGTAAACTCAAGTCTGCACGTAAGCCCCAATATCTACATATAACAAGTGTATTGTTTGCACCAAAAGGTTCAAATTCCGACGAGTCATGTGATAGATATGGTCTTTCATTCATAGATATTGTAGTCTTGATCCAAGCAGTCAACTCGTTTAAGGTTAATTTAATGATAGTGGCACCCCCCCCCCCATTTTATCCATACTGAACGTTTCCTTCGACAAAACATGGAGTCCTTAAATCATTAATGGTTGACAAACATAATTAAAATTGTGTAAATATTGAATTGGAAAAATTATGCCGTGCTGTTGAAATGATACGATTTGCCTTTACTCGCCTCTCTTGAAAACTGGATGCATCCCGAGTTGCCCCCATCAAGCCAGATGGTTAATCCTAGTTATTTCCTGGATCCGCCCTTGTGTGGCTAGTAGTAGCAGTTCCAAATGAGTGCACTCTTCACAATAAAGCATCGATAACCTTTGTGTAGTTAATTAAGAGTGGGAAAAGTATAGGCCTTTCTTTGTAACCATTGGCGCCATTTTGTATGGGCTGCCGTAAGCGCATAATTGAAGCCGTGGTTGGCAACATATTTTTCCAAAACAATCCTCCAAACACCATCAACACATAGTAAAAAGGCATATGTAGGAATAATTTTGTAGCTTTGTTGAAAATGTTGTATTTTTAAGCATTAAATAATATTTTGGTGATCTGTAATAACTCTTCTTCATCTTTGCAGTGTTGGACCTTCCATAGTTTTGCAGGCTGTGGTTGGCAAAAATGCAGTTTGCCAACCAAGCGCAGAAAGGTCTATCCTTCTGTGAATACGGGTACAGAGCGCCCTCATATAGAGGACGACATTTTTTTAAGTGAAATATTCTGTTACGACAGCAGAACGTTTTCACCCAGCGTATTATAAAGAGGAATACTCAGTCAGGACGCTCTATGCATTAATGCCTTGTTTGTTTAGTATCAATACACGAGTGGAATTTTGAATGGCTATGGGCGGATGGGATGGTTTTTTTTTTACATTTCAAAATCGTGAGTTTCAACTAAGAAATAAATGTGTTCGAACATAGGGAAATATTATTATTCGAAGTGATTCAACATGAACATTCCAACGTAAGGATTATGTCCCTTGTTTATCGCCGATTCGAATATTGTCATGATTGTGAGTGAGGTGTTGACAAAGGAGAATGTCAGTTCAGTGAGATTAACGACAGCAACAGCGGCAGATACGATTTGTGCACTGTGTCAAGTCTAAACTGATCCCTTTGTCATGTGTTTAATATGCTAGTGTACTCGGCCAGTGTGTCTGTTTGTGGGAGTCTAAAGTCCTCGAACTACGCAATAACTATCATTATTTACAGCATAGCTTTTTCTCCCCATATACCCATCCCATTCATTGCATCAATTGTAAAAAGATTCTAAAATGTTGAGTTTTTCACTGCTTTATTTAGACAAAATTAATGTTTTTTTAAGTGCGGGTTTATCAACGCAGTGCCCGTCAGTAACTGGACGGGCGTCTGCCCCTATGGTCATGCAGTGCATGACGAGGCTGCCTTGCTGTACCGTCGCTTCTCTCTCGCACACGGTAGTTGTTTCCTAGTCGCATGGTGCAGCGTAGGCATACTATTTGCCGGATCCGCGGTCTCGATCAGCCCGCAATCCGCGTCTTGGCTTTCTCGATATTCAGATGCTTCGTTGTGATATGGGATGTCGCGGTAGGGTGTTTCATCTGAACACAGCCATTTCCCTTCTTCCATCCTATCACTGCAGTCGAACCAAGCCGTAGACGCCCCGTGCTCCTGCAGCAATGAGTTGGCGAACGCGTTCTCCTCAGATGACTTGGGCATCAGCAGGTTGCCTCCCATCTTCTGGCAGAATTCCTTGGCTTGGGCCCAGGCCACGGGAACCGAGTGCACGTAGTACCCAGTCCCCTGAAATGTCTGCCAGTTGGGTGGACAGGGGATGGAACCCAGAGTCACTCAGCAAGAAAACATCTCTAAAACAAAACAGAATTTCGCCGATCTGAACATCTTTAGTTTGCCAGTGTGTTGGTATTCACGTCTCATCGTAATAATTTACACAATGTAGGCTACACACAGACCGTACCTTCCAAACAGGGAGCACGAAATCACTAAACGAGGAAATGTCTCAATGGAAACGTAAGCTTCCAGCGACCCGCGTGTCGTTACGGTTGGAAATGGAGTCAATAAACAAAACACTGATTTTTAACAGCTTAAGTTCTTTCCTATACTTGGCTTTTTAATCTTGTTGTTTCTTGCGCTTCTAATATTCCGTGTTGTTTATTGGTAAGCCGATTATACAATGAAATGGTAAAATCGGTTCACCTTAGGCATATTAAGATTTTTTTGAGAGAGATTTTAGGACAAGAAGTAATCGAAATTCGATGTCAGTGATTGAAAGACAATGTAATAGTGCACTTGGGAATTAATACTAAGTGTATTTATTTTTGTTTACAGAAAAATATCGTTTGAATTCTCTGCATATCGGTATTTTGTTTTGTGAGATGCATTCGATTATTATTAATGACACTCTAGCACCCAATCAATATCTTTGCATTGCAAACAGAACCGAAGTTGGATTCAAATTTCAGTAATGCATGTGACACGCTCATCACACAACTGAGTTGCAAAGTTGAGATAAAGGAGTTTCCAACTCTTGCTTCTGGTGGATGACTTGGCTGGAATTAGCTGGTTGTCAGGGATGTCAATGAGTGTGTTGATGATCCGGCACATCATTGTGACTTTGGAGATGGCGCTTCGATGTCGTAGAGACTCGTAACCAAAGTTACTCAGCATGGCTGATTTTGTGGATATAGGGTGGATGATGTGGAATCATTATCCACAGTAGAATTAGATTAGCTGATCGGATGGATTGCTTAGTGCATTTTGGGAAGGAGTGGAACACACCCTTTGTACAACAAATGATTGGAAAACGGGAAACTTCTTTGACTTCTATATTGGTCCAACCTCTAAGTCAGAACTAAAAGTGAGTTTATTTAATCCTACTCTCCCATTTATGGGCTTTATTTACATAGTTGCATAATTTGGTGTACAATTCAGTATGAAAAACATGTACCATGTTCACAATCCAATCACAATCTGTCATTGCTATGTATCGACGTAAGGACACGCCTACTCCAAACAATAAGCCAATCAGGTTTTAGTGACTGTATTAAACAAATACAAAGACTCAACAAGAACCATATCACTATCATATACAGTATACGTGCAATATTTAGAACATACAGATGAAGACTTTTCACATCACTACAGAGTGTGCCAGAAAGTGACCGAATGAGAAAAAAATTCTGCAAGAAATATGTTGCTCGCTCCATTTTATAAAAATAGCATATAGGATAAAGTACATTGCACTGACAAAAGTAACTGTAAACATTTCACGTAATTTGCATACTCTTTTCCCAATGTTATGTAAGACAAGCTCAGTCGGGCACACGGACACACTTATTTCTGGCTGAACGTTCGTCGTGAGGTGCAGCACGAGCCATAAATGGACATGTACATTGGACGCAAGGTGACCGTTTTAGCCGATTTTCGGCTAACTTTAACAGAATGTTGTAAACAAAATCGAGAGTTTCACAGAAAAATTTGACAGAAGGGACTTTTTTAAGCAGATTTCTGGCGGAATTCTGCAAAAATGGTTGTAAATTTGATTTGATGAGAACAGCAAATTTGAACAAAAATGAACAGCAAATTTGAACAGCAAATTTGAACACATAATGGTACAAATTTGTTTAAAAAAGGTTTCAATCCTTTCAACCAAACCCTGGCATAATGGGACAGGTTGGCTGGTCTAGGCAGTTTGTATTGACTTGGGTCAATGACTCGACTCGATTCCGACTCGAGTCACAATTTTTGGTGACTCGACTCGACTCGAGTGGGGTAAATGACTCGACTCGACTCAAGTCACTGCGAGCAAATGACTCGACTCGAGTCCCTCATCAGAAGCCTCGACTCGACTCGAGCGAAGGCTAATAAGACTCGACTCGAATCCTTAAGGGTAAATGACTCAACTTGACTCGAGTCCCTCATCAGAAGACTCGACTTGACTCAAGTGAAGGCTAATAAGACTCGATCGAGTCCCAAAAATAAAAAGCGCAACTTTGCAAAAGTATTTGCAATAACTGACGGTGCAAAACCTATGCTCACATTATTTTGCGAATAGCAGTCATGTACAAATATGCAAGTGTCACAGACTCCCACCTCATGGTTCTAGAACGCACAAAATACTATCCGGGAACCAGATTTTTAAACACATTTTTTAAACGCTGTTTCATCATTGGTTTTTCGGCTATTTCTTATACAGCTCTTGGATTTGAACGCTCGCTAAAGTTATGGCCTTCTGTTGGTATACATAGTGTTCAAATAATCGTGACTCGAATTGACTCGAGCTAATTATTTGACTCGACTCGACTCGACTCGACCTTTTGACCTAATGACTCAACTCGATTCGAGTCACTTCTTTAAAATGACTTGACTAGACTCGAGTCACAAAAATCAGTGAATCGTCGTGGCCGGATCCGCATTTTGCTCGAAATTTAGGGGATAATTTCATAACATCTTTATGTGACTATGGATTATTAATAATGTGATTTGAACCTTAATTAAGGTAATACTACCAATCTACATGTGATTTTAAGTTTTTATAGTGTATTTTGAATAATTCTGGGGAATTTGGCCGATTTTTGATTTATGTGCATTTAGCAGAATTTGGCTCTGACCTTACGGTCACACTGATTGGACGTCTGTGTCCTTGCAGCGAAGGTAGTTCGCGCTTATACAATTACAATATTAAAACGTGTGTACTGAATGTGCCAGACAAGTTGCTTGAATTGCGTACCTAGGTTGCTAAAAGAATATTCACGCCTGAGTGGGTTTGCGACTTAGGCTATGTCGTGAATATAAGCGTCAATATTGGCGTCAATATTTACGACATGGAGGCCATGACGTGAATATTGGCGTGAATATTGGCGTCAATATTTGCAACTTGGAGACCATGCCGTGAATATTGGCGTCAATATTGGCGTCAATATTTGCGACTTAGGTCCATGTCGTGAATATTGGCGTCAATATTTGCGACCTGGGTCCATGTCGTGAATATTGGCGTCAATATTGGCGCAAATATTTGCGACTTGGAGACCATGTCGTGAATATTGGCGTCAATATTGGCGTCAATATTTGCGACTTGGGTCCATGTCGTGAATATAAGCGTCAATATTGGCGTCAATATTTACGACATGGAGGCCATGACGTGAATATTGGCGTGAATATTGGCGTCAATATTTGCAACTTGGAGACCATGCCGTGAATATTGGCGTCAATATTGGCGTCAATATTTGCGACTTAGGTCCATGTCGTGAATATTGGCGTCAATATTTGCGACCTGGGTCCATGTCGTGAATATTGGCGTCAATATTGGCGCAAATATTTGCGACTTGGAGACCATGTCGTGAATATTGGCGTCAATATTGGCGTCAATATTTGCGACTTGGGTCCATGTCGTGAATATAAGCGTCAATATTGGCGTCAATATTTGCGACTAAGGTCCATGTCGTGAATACTGGCGTCAGTATTGGCGCAAATATTTGAGACTTGGAGGCCATGTCGTGAATATTGGCGTCAATATTGGCGTCAATATATATGTGCAATGTCCCTTTAAAGCCACCATACTTTGTAGTTTATTTGCATTAAGTGTTAATGTTGTTTTCTTTTAACATGTTAACAAAATCAAACTGAACGAACATAGGAATGTAAGGCCCCAAACATCCATTTTTATAACTCAACAAACAGTTAAGCAGTTTGCTACGGTCACGCGATGCTGACTTTCAGCCAACTGTTATTCATTTTGGCGTACCATGCATATCAGTTGAAGTATGACCGAGATGACCGATTGGATTATGGGGATCCACGAGAACGAAACTTTAGCAGGCAACTTATACGTATATAGGCATAATGATGTTGACGCCACGTGACATGATTTGTAAAGTTCTTTCGAAGAGTGGTCAATACCGCCATAGCAACATTATTATGTCTTAAAAAGCTGACCCATTTTTGCTCAATTTATCGCTTGACGACACTCACTAGACGTTGAATTGCTTGCGTTTTAAATAAATACCGGCACCTTGAATATTTTTCATCAGGAGCAGATAGGCCTGTACGGGTACCACACTGTAAACAGTTTCGAACTATGCGGGAGCGCCATCCGCGCACTTCTGGCAGGATCAACAACTGAAGATGTGGGAGCCTCGGAATTATCATCAGTACAGCTTGGAGACCCATGCATCCCACGGCGTTTTGGGACAGATTTAATTCTTCAAGCAGTTGGCAGCCCTGGAGAACCCCCGCAAGGTCAGTCCAATCGGTGCCCTCAAAGCTCATATCCTCCATGTATAATCTCCTTAAGAATGGCATTTGCTCGATAAGTCTCAAGAGAACTGTCATGTACGGGCCGAGGGAGGTCCCACTGACGTTTAACTTTCGAATGGAGTTCTTGGTTGGCTGCAGAGTTTGCAATGCGTCCATGGTATGAGGTTCTACATTACTATGAGGCAGGCATATACACCCGTGGAACTTGAGTTCATTCATGGACGGTGAAGCACAAGCCCACCGCACAACTGACAGGAATGCTTCTGGTTTAACTGGTGACCTCTCCGAAATGGAAACTTCCAGGACAGGAAGATTCAGTGATGGCAAGACTTTTGCAAAAGTGTTTAGGTATTCTGAACACAAGCCATCTCTGATGTCGAGTTTCAGCACCCGCAGATTCTCAAGTCTCTTGAGCTGGTCTGTGAGGCATTCAGGGAAGGCATTCCCGAGAAGACGGACCACTTCTAATTCAAAATCATGCAGATAAAGAGCTGTCGAAAGTAGGTTGCACACATGGTAAATGACGTCTGGGTTAGAAGAAGCTGTTAGCTTCAGGGTTCGAAGATTTGGATACGACCTTACGAGGCGTACTATTTCCAGAGCTGTACTGCCACAATGTGTAAGCTTCAGCACTTTCAGGGGTTTTGTTTGAAGGCCTTGCAAAGCATCTATTTCTTGTCGAGATTGATCGTCTTGCAAGACAACGTTATCAAGAACAAGTTCGCGAAGTTTGCTTTGCCGTATGAACAAACTCGTTAAGTCCCTGCGATTAATGCTACACGAATCTAATTCCAAAGTTTTAAGATTTGTTGCATTGGACTGGGATAAGCGATTGAATGTGAAGGACAAATTCGAAGAATTGCCACTTATCCGAAGTTTTACAAGTTCTTCCATGTTTGAAAGTGCTTCGCCGAGGTAAGCCGTGTTTAAGACTTCTTTATCAAATCCTCCGTTGCATGTAGATATAGTAACATAACTTACTTTTGGGCTGTGCGTTAATATGTTTGTTGCTATTTCAGTGTCCTGTTTTAAACGAACGCCTTCAATATGGACCATCGTCAGCTCTGTAAGAAATGAGTGACTTGAAGAAGTCGCACACTCGACCAAAAACTTTAGAGCGTGCTTCAATTCATTTTCACGATACATGTTAACCAGGAAAACGTGGTTAAAGACGGTGCCGGCAATACTGTGTAATTTTGGATATTGTGCTTCGAAATGCATCAAACTCCAAAGCCTCCTAAATGGTTCATCGGAGTTAACACGATCCGATGATTCAGTTTTCGAGCTGAAAGTATCAGCAACATGGTGAAGAAGGGATCGTGCCGCTCTGACATTTCCACCACAGCAAAAACGCATCAAGTACTCCATACCCAAGGCGTTACTCTTGACCACCTTACTCAGGTAAGATTCAAACAACTCGTTATCAGACTCGACTAGACTCGCCCAATAAAACCCAGCAATTGCCTCTTGGAAGGTTGTATGAAAGAAAGTCACTCGTTCAACAGCACGTAATTTACTTCGAATTTTCTCTTTAGACAGCAATCCAATTTTGCAAGCCTTGTCAACCGCCTCAGATTTTCCAAAGTCCCCAGCTTCAAAGACCAACTTCTGACCAGGAAGCATCAGACCATCAAGAGCTACTTTGCCTAATGTTTTATACAGATCCATTAACTTTTTTTCAAGTATCTCTTTATCATCGGGAATTGGAAAACCAAATTTTTTACAGTAACGTTTGAAAATGTAGAGAAGTGCTTCCTCAAACAACTCTGTCAATATCTCCGGGAGCTTCTGTTCGTCTGACCATACAAGACACATAAGCAGCAGCATTATTGGTGTTCTTGCCAAACTAAGAAGGGTCTCAGATGCCTTTAAATACACAAACAGCCCGACAGACACCTTTGAATCTTCGCCCTTGAAAAACTTCTGAATGTATTCCTGAACTCCTCCGTCTGAGAAACCCCTGGTCTCAATATGAACGAAAGAAGGATTGAGCTCACACAACTTGTCCACCATGTAGGGACGTGTTGTGACGATGACGGTACACCCACGAAGAACATCGTTCGTGATGATTTTAATGATGTTACCTTCAGATGGCAAATTGGAACCCTTTTCATCATACTCATCAGCGCCATCCAACACGATCAGGACTTCGTCAGGATGTGAACGCAGGTAATATTTCAGAGACCATCGATTGAGCTTCGTATCTTCTGCAAGGATCTGGTCATATATTGCCTCGGTCAGATCACGGACGCTCTTAAGTTCTCGCATACTCAGGGCCACCAAAAAGGTAAATTTGGAGAGTTGAGATCCCGGCTTCTGTTCTGCCCAGTCGGTGGCAATCTTTGACACGATGGTAGTCTTGCCGCTACCAGCAATGCCCGAAAGCAAGATAAACCTGACCGGCTTGCCGTCTTTATACTCCAGTTTGAACATGTCCTCGTGGGAGTTAATTGCCCGCTGCACTACCCTCCCAGCCCTGTACTGTTTCTCTTGCAGCTTTAGTTTCACGTAGATATCATTAATCCTACTGGCCTCTTTTCTGAGCCATGGAAGGAAGGGAACCACACTCATCTCGTCTTGGTAGTATTTGATGAACTCATCACGGTAAGGGCCAGGGTTCAAATGTCCCGCACCTTCCACATAACCTTGCGATTTAAAGATAAACATGTATGTTTTAAACTTTGAAACGTAATATTCTTTTCCTGTTATAGTATAGGTTTTCCCGTCAATTCCACATCCTTGCTCATTCAGTCATAAAAAAGTTCATTAAATTTTTTTTTAAGCCCAGTCCACTTAAGCGGCGCGAAATTAATATTTTCAGGATATCTTCGTTTACGCGTAAAAAAAGACAGCAAATTACGTGCTATAGTAAATTGTGCTTGTAATTTTGCGAGCTGTGGGTTTCAGTCCCCCGCTCGCCGGAACTAATTGGGCAGTTGCATTAGCAATTAATGACCTGACTTTGGGGGGGGGGGGAATGATAAAAGAATGTGCAACTATGCCAGAATATATATAATGCTTTATAAGGAAGACATAATGACTAATTCACAACAGAACTGTATAAAAACATAACGTTTCAAAGTAACAAAAACTGCGTAAAAAGACAGATATGGAGACCACATATAAATTATATACTAGTAGGCCCTACTAGTTTGTTAACTACTAATGTGATCACTTTACGAAAATATCACCTTAATAAAATTAAAAGACAATGAATATCATATAAACTTAAAGAAGCTGGCTCTAATTGTGGCAAATACGATTGACGAATGGATATGCTAAATTAAGTTGACTCCTAAACTCCATATTGAAAAACAAATATTTCTCTTAAATCCGTCATTTCGGTGGAACACCGAAAACAACAAACAAAATGGGTTTTCTGACACGATAGATTTTAACGATGCCCACGCTTATTTGAACATGTTAAAGCGAAGTCGAATGCTCAGAATTCCCGCATTTGTACCGGTCTCTTTGCAGCCTCTGGAAATGGAACGAACATTCTGTCTGACTGAAAGAACAAGTTGCAAAATTCGGTCGATTCACAATGCAGTGCGCCTCCAAGAGTTTGCCGCGGAGAGTTCATTTTTCCCAATGCATGCTTTGTATTTTGGGGCATTTGAAATTATCAGTTTTTTTCCGGTCAGTATGGTTTCGCAAGCATACTATGATTTAAGTATCTGTTTGCCCTTGTTGCGTGACCCGGCGTAGGCAAAAGAGAGGTAGGGAGGACAGTCATTTGAAGGGTAAAAGAAACACCAGTGCGGTCTCTATTAAGACTTTTCTAGCAACAACACAGGGATCGACAGAGGGCGCCCTAATGATTTCTTGTTTACAATCTGTCTGCTAAACTAATAAGCAACATCCTCCTTTTTTTTTATAACATGTGAGCCAAAACATTGAAAGGTTGACAGGCTTAGGAATTTAAACCTTAAACACTGGCTAGGGAAGCTCAAGGTCTTGAAACACTTGTTTTTATCCTAAATGTTGCTTTAAGCATGTGAAATTTCTCATGTTTTTCTTTAAAACTTACAAAAAAACAACTTTTCTCCTTTTCATCCTTGTGAAAAGAGTACAGTTACTTTTGCTGCTTGTTTTAGGTGAAAAGAAAATGAATTTTCTGGTTTCTTAATTAAAGAAAATATGAGACTGTTTCTTTCTGTTGAAAATAAAATGCAAAAAACGATTTGTGTTTACAATACATGTATGCCAACTGCGCGGGAAATTGGTTTAGTTTCAAAATTTGTTTCTCTTGAAAAAATGTAAAACAAAATTAAACAAACAGTTCAATGGCGAACATAGTCTTTCAGATATCCTGGTTCTTTGCGAATTCTCTCACTTCTGCGCACAGGCTGTGGGGGAGAGGGTGGGGGAGTGGGTGGGGTATTCTGTGGTACCGGTTCTCGGTTAGTGTTCTGCTTTGGCTGAACCGGCTCATGAAGTGCGCTTTGTGGGGGGTTGCGAGGTTGTGACACGGTTCCAGGGGTGGTTTTAGGTAGCCAACAGGGTCACTGATTATAGATCATAGAACTTCTCTGAGAAGAAATCTAACCCTCAAAATGCCTCGTGGACGGAGAAAATCGGTGAATTCACCCGAACCCGCACCACCTACGCTGTCGCCACACAAGACCGAGCACAGCCCTGCACGTACCCCGGAACCACGCATCGACAACCCGCAGACCATTGACGCCGACTTCCAGCAGTACGTCAAGGATGCTCTGACGGAGATTCGTCGTGGTCAAGACGAACACAATAGGCGGATTATCAAGCTGGAGGAAACCTTCAACGCCACACTCGAGTTCGAATCCAAACGAATCAGCGATCTCGAGAAGCGAGTAAAGAGTTGGAAAAGTTGGTGCCTAAGATAGAGAGCACACAGAAGCAACTGGCTGATCACTCTGAAAAGCTGAATAAACTTGAACGATTCAGTCGGCGAAACAACGTCAGAATAATCGCCATCCGCAGGAAAACAACGAAGATTGTTTGGCTCTTGTCAACAAAATGCTGGAGGACAAATTCGACATGCACGAAGTGAAATTGGAGCGTGCCCACCGGGATGGCCCCAAGACCCCTGGCCGCTCCCAACATCTTCTTGTGAAGTTCAACTCATACCAAGACAAAATCAAGGTCATCCGACACCAGCAACAACGTCTGGTTGATGTCCCATACTTTTGTGTCGAAGATCTGACACATCAGGACCTACAGGAGAAGCGGCGATGGTCATCACACGTCAGCAAAGCCTACAAGGAGGGTAAGCGCTACAGGTTCGTGGCTGGTAAGTGGCGAAGCACCAATGGATTTCTGGCTGAATTCTACCATGGCTAAATCATCTGCCGAATCATCTGTCATCTGCCTCATTTTCCCGCTATCACTCACTGCATTCACAACGCTGTCTTTATTTTGCAATGAACAGCCGGCCTGTATGGCCTTATTGTACTTTTCTTTGTTTGCTTTGTTTGATATTTTTTACCGCATTTTTTTAAAACTTATTTTGCTGGTTTTTATTTCTTTAATTTAATTTTTCACTTTGATTCTGTTGTTGTATTTGCCACTGCTCATGCTGACCAATTTTGCTTATCGAATCGATCGATTACGATTTTTCTCTTGTTATTGATCTCTTTGCTCTCGTTTGTGGTTGCCCCGATTTGATACTATCTATTGTTTTGTCATCGATTGTTCTTGTTTTAGTTATTTATCTCCACTTTTTGTCAATCTCAAACTCTCCATTTGAAATTTGAGTGTGTTTTTTTAATATGGACCTTAACTTCTTATTTTGTATATCAGGGCTCTTGTGGTGCTCACTTTTAATATCAATAGTAGCCTCTATTGATTTTTTGTTTTAGTTTCTTTATTTGATAAGTTTTGTTTTTGTTTTGTCTATCGTATTTTAAAAACAGGTTACATAGGCGGTTTCTTCGTAACCCGACTGTTGCAAATGAGCAGCATTACAAAACATATCGGAACAAGCATATCCACCATCCGACTTGCAAAAAAAAAGGTACTATGCTGACAAGCTTGCCCGTACAAAAAATAATTTGAAAGGTTCGTGGCGCGAAATCAATGGGATTTTCGGCAAACAGAAGCAAAGCAATCTTCCCAGCGATTTCATGGATGGCGACAATCTTCTCTCCAACCCGCCTGATATTGCTGATACTTTTAACAAGTTCTTTACTAACATTGGTTCCTCTTTAGCTAGCAAAATTGCCCCTACTAATACTCACTTCACTGATTCCTTGCACAATCCTAATGCTTCCTCGTTCTTCCTTGCCCCCACGAACAAATACGAAATTATTAAGGTTGGAAGTGAGTTGAAGAGCAGTGGCAGTAGTGGCTTTGATGGCATCTGTTCAACCGTGGTTAAATCTGTACTTCCTCTCATTGCAGATCCATTGACTCATATCTTTAATCTGTCTTTTCTAACTGCTTCTGTTCCTCTCAATCTTAAGGTTGCTAAGATTATTCCTATTTTCAAAAGCGGCGATACACACAATATCAGCAACTACAGAACTATTTCTATCCTCCCTTGTCTCTCCAAAATTCTTGAACGGCTTGTTTACAATCGTCTTTCTCAGTTCATTTCTCATCATCATATCCTTTTCGATCAGCAATTTGGTTTTAGATCAAAACTTTCTACGGACATGGCCCTCATTGAACTTTCCGACAATATTACTAATGCCCTTACCAACAAATTGTGTGCTATTGGTGTTTTTATCGATCTCTCAAAAGCTTTTGACACTCTCGATCATTCTATTCTTCTTTCTAAACTCTATCACTATGGCATCAGGGGCATTCCACACCAATGGTTTGCCGACTATCTCTCTGACAGGTCCCAATATACTTCTATAATGAACTATGATTCTGGTCGTCTTAACATCCAGCATGGTGTCCCCCAAGGCTCTATCATTGGGCCCCTTCTTTTTCTGCTTTATATCAATGATCTTCACAATTCTTCATCTCTTCTTAACTTCACTTTTTTCGCCGACGATACAACCATATTCTATTCTAGCTCTGATGTTACCTCTTTGATAAACACTCTCAACTCAGAACTCAAGTTGATGTCTCCGTGGTTTAAAGCCAATAAACTTTCTTTGAACCAAAGTAAAACAAATTATATTTTTTTCAGCAAGTCGGCTCGTCCTCATGATATCAACTTTTCTCAACTTGTAATTGACAATATTCCAATCAACAGGGTCTCTTCAGCCAAGTTTCTGGGTGTCATCATCGATCAAAACCTTTCCTGGACCGAACACATTTCTTCAATCACCAAAATAGAAACACCGGCGTTCTTTCTAAACTTCGTTTCTTTCTTCCAGCCACCTCTCTGATCTTACTTTATAACACTCTTATTCTCCCGTATCTAAATTACAGTAATATAATTTGGGCGCGTACCAGCAATAATAAACTGAACGCTTTGGCTGTCACACAAAAAAGGGCCATTCGCATTTGCACTCTATCGCATCCTCGGGACCACTCTGCACCTCTCTTTGCACATCTACGCACCCTCACTCTTACTGACATCAACAAATTGCACACTGGGATCTTTATGTACAAATTTACTAACAATCTTCTCCCTCGCACATTCTCCTCATACTTCACCTCAGTTCATGAAATTCATGATTATTCAACAAGATCCCGCAATAATCTATTTGTTCCCTTTACTCGCACCTTGT